CTCACCAGAGTGTCAGAATTTTAATCTCCTCACTCTAACCACCTTCTCCCTAAGCCACCCCTCAAGATGCATGAGTTCTTCAGGGGCTGTAAAAGATGGGAGAGATGGTAACCTTCTTCCCACCCCACCACAGACTTTTTAATTTTCATCTCCACCAACTGTCGAGGAAGTAGATCACACAAAGGAATGCTGTGCCTTAGGGCTAAGGGGATTTGCTGAGAAAGCAGGAAGGAAGAATGGGGGGCAGGGTAGAGGCAGAGACCCTCGGGAGAAATAATTAGGGCTGGCAGGGAAAGGCTGTGTTAATTGAGCTGAGCAGAAGATGAGCATCTGGGGATCCCTTCATGAGACTGGGATTTTCTGATAAAGTCTTCCTTATATTATTGCATTAATCTTTGGTCACTATAAGAAAAATGTCTTTTAAGAAAGAAAGGTATCTATGAAAACAGTTACGCCAGCGACAGAGCTGGCTGGTGAACTAAATAGTGACCACAACGAAAATAGCTAAATAAATAAATACATAAATAAATAAACGTGATACAGATCGTAGCTTGGCCAAAGCCTGGTTTCCTCACAGTGAAAGGAACCCTTGCAGCGCTGACTCTTGGTACTGAAACTGCTGGCTCACAAATAGGATGCTGGGGCCTATGTGCTGCTGTGTTCCATAGCTGCCCAGCCTTCCAACAGTTATGTCACAGGGCTGTCTGAGATTAGTAAACATTTGTTTAATACTTCTTCTTGAGCTTGAATATTCTTTGTGTGAGGAGAAAAGGGCGTGGGGAAGGATCTTAGTGTGTCCTATGAGACCAAGAATGCTCAGAGATCCTCCATCCATGCTAATGGGATCTTTCCTCAGTTTTGAACATTTCCGTTATATAATGTACAACACAGGAACTCAGGAAATGGCAGAGAGCCATGGTGTGCACATAATATATGCATAGCCAAATAGATGGCACCAGTGAACAGGCATTACCCCTTACCCAGATTGAGCCATAGACTTGTGCTGGTGCTCAGAGACTCTAAGTCTCTTCCTCATCGTGGTCCATCCCTCCCATCCTGGAAGGAACCTTCCTATGGTGTTGATGATATTCAACTTCTTGCTTTTCTGTATGGCTTACACCTATATTCTCTGTGACTTGATTTCCCCACCCCAACCCCCCACATTATGCTGGTAAGATTTGAGTGTGTGGTTGCACGAGGCTGTAGCTTGTTCCTTTTTATTCCTGCACAATATTTCATTGCAACCACAGATCACAGCTGGCCCATCCATCTCACTATGATGGACACTACTGATAGCATGAGGCTGACACAGGGCTGCTATCTTGTTTTTTTTTTTTTTTTTTTTTTTTTTTTTTTTGCTAGGAGTAGAACTTGCAGACTGGGGCATGCTAAGACTTAGAGGTCAAACTGAGGCTTGGTGGCAGGCACTGCCCTAGAGCTGCTATTGATTACTTTCTGGTGCATAAATCTCTACAGGGGAGGGGCCAGCGGCATCACCATGAACACATTTTTAGATGGTAACTGCCATGTCCTGTGTGGCTCATTCATGTAAAGTGGACAGTCCAGTGGTACTTGGTATAATCACAGACTTGTGCAGCCACAACCACTAATATTGTGATTATTAGTGTGTTCCTTTGAGAGATCCACACACATGACTAACAGAATAGAAACCAGTGGACATGTTTGTGCTAGAGCTGAGGCTTGGTTTGCTTATGCTGAAAGTTCTGTGGCCCTGGGAGGGCTTTAACACCGTAGGGTGATTGGTTTAAGGTACCAACAAGTAGAAATTCATTGTTAATACAAATGTGCTATTTTGGAATCATGGTGCATCAATTCAATGCATGAAAGTGGCTCTTGAATTTTCATGGGTATCAGAATTGACTCCACAGAGTTGTCCTTTGATTTCCAGCACATGTGTCCACCCCCATCTCCTCACACAAATAAATAAATGTAGTAAAATTCTTAACAAAAAGAATTGCACTAAAAACAACAATAACAGATGCTAGACACAAAACTCTGTCTGGGTTGGAGCTAGGCAATTTGAGATTTTGTGTTTCTAATGGTTTTCCTAGTGATGCTGATACTAATTGTTGCAGACTACACTTCGAGAAGCCTAGAGTTTGCACAATTAGAAAGCTGAAAATTAGAGAACTTTAATAAAGAAGCCATAAAACAATTTAGAGACTAGAGATCAGTTAGCCTGCTCTTTGGTCTCTCAGAGCAGGACAGTAGGAGTGGAGAGTGGGAGACAGGCTTTAAATGCACTCTGAAGATGCAGTTGATGGCCTTGGCAGTTGATTTGATGCACTGGACAGGGAGGAGGGACAGTGAGGGTTCAGGCATTCATCCAGGAAGAAATATAGAGGACAGGACCCAGGCAGAGGCGGAAGGAAACCCCGGCTATTTTACACTTCACTACTCGCTCTCTGGAATGGTTTATCCACTCAACCATGGCTTCATGGTCAGAAGGGTGGTGGCACTTGGTAACAGGAGGAATGGACATTTTCCTGGGTAATTGCTTTTGAAAGCCAGGAGGTGGAAGTACTCCCCAAAGCTCATAAGCTAGAAGTCTGGAAATGACTGGAACCTTCTGTTACCTAAATGTCTCACCTAGCCTTCCAAAGTACTTCCCCTCTGACCAGATAAAGTCATCACATGACTGGTTCACATGACTTCAAGGCCCTACAGGTCCCACAGCTTGGCAGCAGCTAGCTGTTCCTTGGACTCTGGCTACATCTGTGTCCTGTCTGGATTTGAGGTCTTTTTACCCAGTAGAACTAAAACATCTCCCTCCGTCAGCTCCTTAATGTCATCCCCACACACCCTGCAAGCACATCAGAAATGCCTAGCGTCAGTTCTTGGACCACGGCTGGCCAGGGCAGAGCTGCTAAGGACATCCGTGTGTGCCTTGTTTCATGTGCCACACGTCTGGCAGACAGTGGTGACAACACACACACTAAAGGCTTTTTTGTTTGGGTTTTCGGTTGGTTGTGTTTGGGGTAGCTTTTAAATTTTCACTTGTAATGAGCTGAGAACTCAGTGGTGCACAGGATGGTGAGAGCTGTTGGGTGCCAATGCTTTTTCCCTTTGTTTCTAAGGCAGGGAGGTGTGGAATTTGCAACCTCTGTGAATCCGGCCCTAGATGGCCTGTGGGCCTCGGCGGTCAAACACAGTGATTTTAGCAGGCATTGACTGTCTCTGAAGCGATGTCCTCCCCCACTCCCAGTTTGGCTTTGGTTAAACTCAGAACCTCGGAAAGATTCCTAGGAGCCTGTTAGGGGGTTGTGAGATGGGAAACTTGGGGTGAGGAGGCTCAGGGACAGTGGTACCATCCATTGGGAGAAACCTGTGCTACTTGGTAGTGTGGCTGGGTGCTGGTGGGGAGTAGGGAGTATTCCAGTCTGTGGCGGTTTGGCCAGGGCAGCCCAGAGGGGAAGGCTGAATGGTCCCCAAGAAGGACTGGGAAGAGAAGCTGGGGATGTTTGAACAAGGAGGCCCTTTGAAGTTTTTCTCTTGTGTATCGTCTCTGTCCTGGGCCTGGACCCTCCCCTCCATAAAGCCATTAGCTTCTGGAGCCAGCCTTATCTCTGCCCCATCTCTAAGTTCTACAGACCTCCTATCTTGAGGTGGAGGAGGATTTAAGGGGGGTCTGGGAGGGGGAGGGACATCCCTTAGAGGAGGCAGTCAAGTCAGTTAGGAAAGTTAGTGGCCCCCGCTAAAGGCCGGATCATTTCCGAGCTGGCTCTACATGACAAAAGCTAAGGAGCAAATCTCTCTTTGATCTGCCCCTTGCCGGCCCCACACACCTGCCTGTTGGTGCCCTGCCCCAACTGAGACCTCAAGCAGGAAAACCAAAAGGGGTGGGGAGCAGGCATGTCCCAACTCTGAATCCTGCTCCCGCCGTCTTCCTCCCTTCGTGGCCAGGTCAAACATATTTCCTAGACCGATGGTCTAAAAAAGCATCTGCCGCCCCCTCCCGGAGAGTCTAGAGACCCAGAAGCTCAGCATCAGCGTGGTGAGCTGGAGTGGTGTGTGTGTGTGTGTGTGTGTGTGTGTGTGTGTGTGTGTGTGTGTGTGTGTGTTGGTCAGTTACTCTGGGATGCTAAAGCTGTATTTTCCAAATGTCCAAAGTTTTCCCGGGATGGGTGTGTTTCACCCAAGGCAAAGGTGGCAATTCTAATGCAGCAAGGGAGTGGGCAGGCAGGACCTCCCGGGAGATTTGAGAGAAGTGGCCCGAGCTGGTGGAAGTGCATTCCATGTGGCCCTTCAAAGGCCAAAGTGTGGTGGGAGGAGACTGGTCGCCAATGCCTGCTCCTGGGACGCTCCTTCACAGCCTGGGAAGTAAGGGGCACTAATGTTCTCCCTGCTATTACTCCTTAATATAAACAAAGATTTGCATTCAGAAATCTTCAGAGCAGGAAGGCACAGCCTATTGGGGAGTAGTCATATCCATTTCTGTAGGTGTTTAACCCTTAGCCCCTACAAAGAAGGGCCTGATAGAGACTGGAGTGGGTGGGGTTTTCTTTCTTTCCTTTTCTTTTTTCTTTCTTTCTTTCTTCTTTTCTTTTTTTTTTTTTCTTTTTTCTTTTTCTTTTCTTTCTTTCTTTCTTTTTTTTTTGTAAGTGGCCTTTTGTCTCTGGGCTCTAGACAAGCAGGTGTGTGTCTTAATTGCTGCACCAGGCATACTATTCTTGAAATGGTCCGTTTTCACTTGCTTTACTGGCTTGGATCCTGAGCAGGAGGCCCACAGTGTAATGCAAGGGACTCAAAGGTCCTGTGGTGAGCAGCTACCCAGGAAGAGGAGGCTGGAAAGGGCTGAACTGGGGGTGGGGGCAGCATTTGCCTTCAGGTCCCTTCCACAGCTCATCCTTTAGCTTTCCTGCACTGTCTCCATCTCCCACAGCTCATCCTTTGGCTTTCCTGCACTGTCTGCATCTCTCCTGGGCTCCCCTGGTCTGTGGCATCGCAGCTGACTCTCCTTTTCTTCTCTTTCTCTCCAGGGAGCTCTTCTTTGGAAGATGTTGGTTCCAGGGCACTGGGATGGGCTGAGGTTGACCATGCCCAGCCTGATGTCACTGTTCACAGCAGCTCTGCTCTCCAGCTGGGCCCAGCTACTGACTGATGCCAGCTCCTGGTGGTGAGTGAGAGGACTGAGGGCTAGCCTGTTCGGACCTTGAGGCTTCTTGGGTAATCAAGCTAAGAAGCAGGGCCCCATGGGAGTGGTCACACCTTTATCTGAGGAATACCAGGGGAAGACAGGAAGGGCTCATTTTCATTTTCTCCCTCAAGCTCCCAGAGGGGAGGGTTTCAGGAGAAGAATATAGGCTTTATTTGTGTGGTTCCCCCCCCCTTAGGTCTTGTCTAAAACCCTTCCTGAATGTCCCCCCCACCGTGAATTGTTACAAATAGCTTTTATTGTTATTTATCCAACAGCAAAAAAATATTGATAGCATAAATGAGACCCTGAAATCCACTCTTAGAAACACACACACACACACACACACACACACACACACACACACACACGGCTGAGGGACAGACTACTTGAGCTCAATAGTTCAAGGTCAACCTGTAGAATACAGCGAGACCCCCCCATCACAAAAAGTGTGTAAATATTTGTGTGTATGCATGTATGTCTATGTATTGTTTGGTGTTGCTATTTCTCTGTGTTTGGGGGTTTTTGCTGGTAGAAGCAGATGTAGTAAAATTCCTACTAGATCGGTCCGAAAGCCAGAGGAGGGCTTTATAGGAAGAGCCAAGGAGGCTTTTTTGTGTTTTTAAGGCCACTGCATTTGCCAAGTAGACATGGAAATGACAGTTTCTGCCCAACTCTTGCTCTTATTCAGCTGGCAAATCTTTAAGTCCCTCATCTAATTTAGCACTTCATTTGTGATAGGTGCCAGATGATGAGCTAAAGTAGTCCCCAAGCTGATCAGCAGAGGGCTGGGATACACTGAGAGAAAGACAATGACTAGGGTACATGCCCACATGTATGAAGTGGATTCCATCATAAAGGCCTAGGGGATGTGCATTGAAGGGGTGGGGCTGCTGTCCATCATGCACCCAGCACTTGGCTAACCTCATTTTACCTCTTTAATGACGTTAGTGCTCTCCTACAGATGGTTCACTTTTTCTGCTCCCCTGGAAGTGAATGACTGCCCTGCTCAGCCTGTACTGCCTACCCGCATCCTTGAAGACAGTTCAAATTTTTGTTGTGGGTTTTTTGAGACAGGGTCTCACTATATAGCTGTGTCTGTCCTGGAACTCACCATGTAGATCAGGCTGGTCTTGAACTCACAGAGATCTGCCTTATCTGCCTCCCATTTGCTGGGATTAAAGGTGTGCACCACCATACCCTACCATCTCTTTATAAAGGACCTAGCAGCCAACTGTCTGAGGCATATAGTATCTCACATAGCATTTATGTTCGTTCCTCAGTTTCCCTCAGTTCCTCAGTTATTTGAAGACTTGCACTCTGTGCTCAACTTCCCTTCTGATCCCATAGACCAGAGCCTTGTATGTTGAGAACATTGCGGAGAGGGGATTGCATGGATGGGCTAGAGCAGCAGGAAGGTACATTCACTGTGGGGGACCTTCTCCCTTTCTGGATTGCTATTGTAGGTCACTAGCTCTGAACCCGGTGCAGAGACCTGAGATGTTCATCATTGGTGCTCAGCCTGTGTGCAGCCAGCTTCCCGGGCTTTCCCCGGGCCAGAGGAAGCTATGTCAGTTGTATCAGGAACACATGTCCTACATCGGGGAGGGAGCCAAGACGGGCATCAGGGAGTGCCAGCACCAGTTCCGGCAGAGGCGGTGGAACTGCAGCGCTGTGGACAACACATCTGTCTTCGGCAGAGTCATGCAGATAGGTAAGAGGCCACATGAACGTGATGCACTCACTGATGGCATGAATGGATTCTTTCTGGGCTTGGAAGTGTGTTAGAAGGAAGAGGGAACCCTACGGGCTATTATAGCAATAACTGCATCATCCTGTGTCCCTCTAAGTCAGACTCACCCTGGGGCTGGCTGTGACTCACTCTGGGAGGGAACGGAGCATCTGAGTAAGGAGGGAGTGGATTAGAGACCTGCCCCGCATGGCTGCCTTTGTCTCAGGGGAGAAAAACCCCAAATTGCATTTTAACATCTAAGATTTTCACTTCTTCCACTTGAGCCCTTGAGCAGGAGGTGAAGACTTGGTGCCAGATTGGTAATAGCTGTCATTAACCAGGCCCAGCCCGGCTTTCTCCTTTGAAAGGGGGTATAAGTGAACCTGGTGGGAGAGGAAGGTGAGGGGAGAGCAACTCAGCATCCTTCCCCTCCCCTGTCCTATTGCCCAAACGGAGGTGTGATTTGAGTCTAATTGTCTTAAGTCCTTTTGAAATGTAATCCTTCCCTCCCTGGCAAGAACCTGAGAAACCAGGCCCTATTCTGCTGGGTCTCATCTCCAGGACCATAAAAGGAAGGTGTTGGTAGTCTTGTCTCTTCCTCTCCCTATCACTCTACCTTGTTCTGGAGTTAGCTGGTGCTGGGGCTTTTCCAAAATGGGGTTCCAGCAAGATGTTTCGGGGGAGGGGTAGAGATTTGAAAGTATTCTCTTAAGAAGAACCTCCTCCGACCCCCACATTTACTCCAGACATCTTCCCCAGGCTTCAAAGTGAAAACAAGGGAAGTCTCCTCTGAACTGTCTTTGCCTTTGGGATCAGCTCTGGCTACATAAAAGGGATGTGCCTGTGGTCCCTGAAAGCTGACTTGGCTTTCAGTGGGATTTACCTACTGATTCTTGAGGAGTCCTCTTGTCACTTAAGTCCCTCTTCTTGGCATAGTACTTGACCTGCAATTTTGGGTGTCTCGACCATGACACTAGTCCAGGTGGAGAGCGACATCCTTGTCCTGCAAACATGAGGACCAGATTTGATCTCTAGCATCCAATCCACATAAAAGACATGGGGACCCAAATTCAATCTCCAACGCTTGCATAGAAAGATGGGTACAGTGAAGCGTGTTTGTAATCTCAGTGCTGGAGAGACAGGGACAGGCAGACTCCTGAGGCTTGCTGGTGGCCAGCCTAGACAAATCTGGGAGCCCCAGGTCCTAATGAGAGATCTTGTCTGTAGAAAACAAGGTGTATGGCTCCTGACAAACAACAAACAAGGTTGTGAGGCAGTGTGATGGAGAGCTGCCCTGGGAGAATTTGGAGACAAAACTAACACCTTTTATTGTTCTGGAAATAAGTCAGGAGAATAGGGCCTGATTGGAATGTACATGTACCCACACACATTGCACACACCAGCACATGCACACAGGTCAGGAATAGACACTGGGAGTCTGATCTGATTGCGTAGTAGGGCGACCTGTACAGGACAGACAGAACTTACAATGGAAGCACATCTCATTTAACCTACTTCTGTTACAAGCAGGAGCACTTGGATCTGTCTGATTTTACCCACTTTGTTGTTTTCTTTGTTGTTGCTGTTTGAGACAGGATCTCTCTACATAGCCCTGGTTGGAACTCTATGTAGACCAGGCTGGGCTTGAACTCACAGAGATCTGTCTACCTCAGTCTCCCTAGTCCTGGGATTACAGGTGTGTGCCATCCACTTTTTTTTTTTTGTAGCCTCCCTCAAGGGTCTCCTTGCCTGAGAATCTGTCTTTCCTTCTGTGCCCCAGGGTAGCTCCTTCTAGGATCCTGGGAGGTGTCTGTCCCTAGGCTCCTCTTTTCTTGAAGCTATAGCAAAAATTATCACCAGAGGGCAGCAGAGCAGCTCAGAAGAGCAGCCTGGCTTCAAAAGCCTCTGCCTGGGAACCATGGGACCATGGGACCCTGATGGAGAGCTACACTCCTTTCCGGGAGCAAGCTCTCCCTAGTTGCTCTGTGGCCATGGCATGATAGCCTTGTACCCTTGAGATGGTTTGGTTTTACTTTCATTTGTGATTGTTTCACATCTAGGTTACCCTCCCATCCCCATCCCCAACCTACCCCAACATGCGCGCGCTACCCCAACACACACACACACACACACACACAGACACACGGTTTATCTGCTTATCTAACCTGCTTTGGGGAGTTCTCTTGCAAGAGATTTCTATGCAATACTCTTTCCCAAGACTCAAGTGCTGCCCCATGCAGTTAACACTGCATGCTCTCAGGATCTGGGCACACCCCTCCAGCAGAGGCTGCAGTGTGCTGGAGGACACTTTCAGATAGATCTCAGTCACCAGAAGTCAGTCTGTGGCACCTGGTGTATTACATTCAGGGAGGGGCACATGGGTTCAGAAGGCATTTGGAGAGGGCCGATTGGACTCTGAGAAGCATATTTGCCAAGGGAGGGTAAAAGAAATCAGACATATGTAGCTGGGAAAGGAACACATAAAAGGCATGTTTCTTGTTTTCAAACACTGGGGAGCTGTCAGATGGATAGAGGATTAGACAGCGCCACTCCAGCAGGCAGAAATTACAAGGAGGCGTATTTTGGTTTCATATGAGAAGGAACTTTCTAGTGATAGAATCAATTTAAAGAGAAAGGAAAAAAAGATGAATAAGTTGTGTTGAAAAGCCAGCTACTTTTCTGAGGAATGCTGGAAGCTAATGCTTGTGGAGACTGAAGAGGGACCCTATACTGGGGTGTCTAAGACTCTATCCTGCTCCAGGTGTTGTGTCAGGGGTTGAGAACGTTTCTGGAAGATTTCTAAGGAAGGCATGAGTTACTCAGAATAGGGCCCAGCTTGCTTTGTTAAGAGCACATAATGCTTTTCCAGAGGACCCACCCGAGTTCAGTTTCCAACACCTACATCAGACTGCTTATAACTGCCTATGACTCCAGCTCCCGGAGATTCAGCACCCTCTTCTGGTTTCCACAGGTACTTGACTCATGTGGACATTTCCTACAAAGACATACACATATACACAATTGTTTTTTGTTTTGTTTTGTTTTTTCAAGGCAAGGTTTCTCTGTATTGCTTTGGAGCCTGTCCTGGAACTCGCTCTGTAGACCAGGCTGACATCACAGAGATCAACCTGCCTCTGCCTCCAGGGTGCTGCGATTAAAGGCATGTGCCACCAAAGCCCGGCCCCATCACAATTTTTAATAAAACAATTTTGTTTTTAAAGAGCTTCTTGGATAACCTTACTATCCCAGCATTCACTGCTGCAGTCATCACAAGTATCAGTCACACTATTTGTGTGGAGGTTTCAGGGGGTGTTCCTGTTCATAAGTGACAAGAGCTGTTCATTGTTACTTGTGATTCGCTCAGTGTGGTCTGATTTCTGACTTACTGTGTGGTGCCAAGATAATCAAGAAGTAGGGACCACTCCAGACCTTTCCTCTAAGATTCACTTTATTGTTTGTTTATAAGAATGTACGTGTGCCTAGGTATGTGTACACAGAAGCCAGAGGAGGGCATGGGATCCTCTGGATCTGGGGGGTCACAGTGGCCATGAGCCACCCGACGTGGGTGCTGGGAACCAAACTCCAGCCTTCTGCCAGAGCAGCAGATATTCTTGAGTGGAGCCATCTCCCCAGCCTCCGCACCTTTTAACTGACTGCAGGCTTCACCCTCTGGGACAGGACTGTGCGTCTCCTCCCCATTATGGAGAATCGAGAGAGTCACAAAAGGAGAACAAGAAAGTCCAGGAGGGATCTGTGGCCTGATGAGAGCCACTTCTCTCAGTATCTGATCCCACACAAGTGTCATTTGCTCTTAAAATAGCCTTAAGGGGATGGCATGTGCAATTCACCATTTAAAAGTGCAGTTTAGTGGTCTTCAGCGTATTTACTAGATGTGAAATTGTAACCATTAATTCCAGATTATTTGTATCAACCCTTAACTGTTACTGTCTAAACCCGAGCCCTAGGCTACAGGTAACCTCTGTGGATTTTTTCCCATTCTGGGCATCCCTATAAATAGGATCAGACAATACATGGCCTCTTCACTTGATGCAATTATTTAAAGGTTTATCCATGTCATGGCATATGTCGGTACTTGATTCCTGTTAACATTTCACTGGATGGCTAGTAGCACATTGTTTCTCCATCCATTGATAGATAATTGGCTTCTTCCGTTCTTCCTTCCTTTCTTTTTTTTATGTGGCTATTATGAATCATGCTGCAATGAGCATCCATGAGGATGCATATCTTTGTTTCCATTGGGCATATTTTTAGGAATGGAATTGCCTGGTCATCTGGGAACTCTGCTAACCCTTTCTGTTGCTGCCAGGCTGGTTTCCATCTGCACCCAATAACATTTCCATTCCCAGTGCAACTGAGCATGCACCATGGGAGGCTGCTAACACTCCCATCCACAGTGCAATGGCATGCAGCAGAGCATGCACCATGGGAGGCTGTTTGTTTGTTTGTCTCCTATGTAGCTCTGGCTGTCCTGAAACTCACTCTGTAGACCTCGAACTCACAGAGATCCATCTGCTTTTGCTTCCTAAGTGCTGGGGTTAAAGGCACCACCGGCACCATGGGAGTTTAAAGTAGATTGCTGTAGCCATAAAGAGGAGCATAGTTGGGATTCTCTATAGAAAATGACCAGGGACTGAAACTTCAAGTATGGCTCCCCAGTGCTCTTGAATTGAGAGGCATCATGAGTCTCAAGGTAAAGAGAGGGAAAAGGTAGGACTGTTGTCTAGTTCACTTTCTATTCTTGGCCTTTGCTAGGGTCCCACTAGACAGTGGCAGCCATGAAGAAGACAGACACACAGGTGTGTAACTTACGGGTGGGAGAGAGATGGTGTTGAAGGAACAGTTATTTTTGCATGGGTGAGAGCTTGTTCTACTAATCTCACAATTTATTCTTTAATCTCATCCTGTTAGTCCCAATGGTCCTTAAGTTGCAGGAAGCTCATTCTCCCGCTACCTACAGCTCCTCCCAGGAGTGACTGTGGGGTCCTACAAAGTACAATTGGCTTGGGTGTTGACCGGGCATGGCGAGTGTCAGAGAGTAGAGCTGGGGCCAAGAGGCAGAAGTCAAAATGGGCCCAGGTCAGCCCATTGAAAGAGTGTCTGTGGAGAGGGCAGGCATCCCCTGGAGCACTAGTTCCCACAGCCAAGGGAGAGAAGGAGAGGCCATCCGCAGAGGAGAGTAGCATGCTTACCATCTGTTGTCCCCTGCTGCAGGTAGCCGGGAGACTGCTTTCACCTATGCAGTGAGTGCTGCCGGGGTGGTGAATGCCATCAGCCGCGCTTGCCGAGAGGGTGAACTGTCCACCTGTGGCTGCAGTCGGACTGCAAGGCCCAAGGACCTGCCACGAGACTGGCTGTGGGGTGGCTGTGGGGACAATGTGGAGTATGGCTACCGATTTGCCAAAGAGTTTGTAGATGCCCGCGAGCGTGAGAAGAACTTCGCCAAGGGATCAGAGGAGCAGGGCCGAGCCCTCATGAACCTACAGAACAACGAGGCTGGCCGCCGGGTAAGCCATCTTGTCCTGACCGCTGCCAAGGAGCTACGGGTGTAGACCTACATCCTTGTCACTGAGCATCACTTCTAGTGTGATTGTCTTTCTTTTTAGGGGTGCTGGGGACTGATTTTTTGTTTGTTAGTTGGTGATGGTTTGTTTTGGGATAGGATCTCACTCTGTAGCTCTGGCTGGACTGGAATGCACAATGTAGACCAGGCTGGCCTCAAACTCAAGTGATCCACCTACCTCTGCTTCCTGAGTGCTGGGTTTTTGTTTTGTTGTTGGTTGGTTGGTTGGTTGGTTCTTCAAGACAGTGTTTATAAGGGTAGTTCTGGCTGTCTTGGAACTTGCTCTGTAGATCAGGCTGGCCTTGAACTTAGAGATCCACCTGCCTCTGTCTTCCAAGTGCTGGGATTAAAGGCATAGGCCATCACTGACAGACTTGTATTTATTTTTTTTAAAACAAGGTCTTATTTGTTGCCCAGGCTGATCTTAAACTCCTGGGCTCAAGACATCCTTCTGCCTCAGCCTATCAGGAGCTGGGACTACAGGTGCCCATCATAGCACCTGGTTCCTGAGTGTTATTTTTCTCACTTTATCACATCGGTCCCTCCAGGACTAAGGTGAAGTGTTTGTTCTTGGCCAACTCTCCTCGTGACGATTGGTTGCTCAGGCCATGAAACCTAGCCTGGGATTTGTGGTTTGTTAACAGCATCAGATGAGCCTGGGGCTGACTCTGAAGAGCTGCTATGAGCAGATACAGAGCCACAGCCCATAGACTCAGGGGTAATGGAGGATGCGTACTCTGCACGGAGAGGCTGAGGTGGGAATGAGGAAATGCAACTGTCTTCTAAGCCTCGGGTTTAGTAGAAGATACACACGGGTGACATGTCACAGCCGCACATGCCTGGTTGTTGTGTCCCCCACTGTCCCCACGACCTCTGGGGGCAGCACCATGGCAGCAGAGAGCTCTGCTCCTTTACGCCTCACAGCTTCCCGAAATGACGCCTCTGAGAACAGCTGCCCCACTGTGCACTGTGGCCCATTCTTAAACTCTTGGGTGCTCACTTCCTATCCTCTTTCAAAACTGGACATCTAGAATCTCAGGTGCAAAGGAGGCTGAGGCAGGAGGATAGCTTGAGCCTAGTTGAGGGCCAGGCTGGGTGAGACCCTACCTCAAAGACAAAATAAAATAGATCTGGGCTTAAAGGCCACCCAGACCTTAAAGTCTTTCCCACTCCCTACAGGCCTCCTGCACCGGTGCCTGAGTGGAGCGTCTCATGCTTTTCTTGAGGTATTTCTCACCCTCCTTTTCTCTGGTGAAGGTCAGCTGTGCTGGCCGTGATTCTTTGTGACACCCTTACTGGGCTGTGCATGGTTACGAGAGCAGTTTCTGTGTTGCCTCCTAAGGGATAAGTAAGATCCTGCTTCGCAGAAGGAAGCAAAGGGGCTGGGTGTCAGCCCTGCTTTGAGCTCATGTCTGGCACTGTGACAGTGCCAGGAGCCAGGCAGCATGCTGATCTGTGAACTGTACTGAAGGTAGAGGGGAGGCATGGCCTCCCTTCCCGTCTCAGTGTGAGCCTCCTGCTGGCTCCTCATTCTTTTGCCCCTCATCATTTGTTTGTGCTGGCCCCTTCTCTGCTGCTTCCTCTGTCTGTCTGGCCCCCTGATGACCTCTTTTCCTGCTTTCCTCTGTCTGGTTCCCAGGCTTTAGCTCCTTCCCCAACACTGCAAACCTCTTCCTCAGCCCTTTGTCTCCCCCTCTGCCACAAGCTGCTCCAGGGTAGAGATGTTTGTCTCTATTTTTTTTTTTTTTTTTTTGTCACTGTCCAAGTAACTCCAGCTGTCAATTGCCAGCTGGTTCAACAGTATTATGTTAGCTCGCATCTCCTCACACGCACGCACAGGAAGTTCTCCAAGGAGCATTGTACAATGGAAGGGTTGAAAAGCACCCAGACTAGTACTTTCAGACCAGAATGAGCAAGAACAGCAACAGATGATCTGCTGTCTGCCATCTTGCCCAACAGCAGAAGGCCCATGTGCTTTGGCAGAAGCTTCTCTGGGAAGAAGCAACTCTGGCAGCTTCCTCTGGACACAGAGGCAAGAGCAGCAAGCTGGTACTGCTCAACTGCACAAGGATGGCTATGCAGATAAAAATGCCTGGGGGGGGGCAATGGCGGCACAGGGCTTTAATCCCAGCACTCAAAAGCAGAGGCTGGCCAATCTCTGTGAATTCCAGACCAGCAAGCCTGGAGCTGACTATGTAGCCCAGGCTGGCCTCGAGCCCACAGTACTCATCTTGCCCCTGCCTGTTTTTAAAAAATATATTTATTTATGATATACATAGTATTTTTTCCTGTATGTATACCTGCATGCTAGGAGAGGACACCAGATCTCATTATAGATGGTTGTGAGCTACCATGTGGGTGCTGGGAATTGAATTTAGGACCTCTGGAAAAGCAGTCAGTGCTCTTAACCTCTGAGCCATCTCTCCAGCCCCCTGCCTCTGCCTTTTGAGTGCTAGGATTACAGGCATTAGCCAAGCCCAGCTCTTTAAAAAACTGGGGAGGAGGTGTTAAGAATGACACAGGGTCTCTCTATGTAGCTCAGGCTAGCCACAAACTCATGGCAGCCCCCCTCCCTGAGCCTCCCAGAGTGCTGGGATTCCAGGTGTGACTACAACACTCTAACTGGGACTGAAAGGTTCTTTTTAAAAAAAAGCATTTTGTCACCTTCTGTGGCTCTGGGCATCAAACTGAGTGCTTTACTTGTACTAGGCAAATGGTCTAACCTGAGCTACATCCCCAGCCTCACTCTGTACTAGTTTAGTAAGCAGGACGGGCTTTAAAATTCCCTTGTCTTTCTTCACAGAAGTATCAGTAATAAAATATGTAAAACAAAGAACAAATATTCCAATGTCTGTTAGTGTCTTCATCTAGGGCAAGGATGGGTAGATTTTAAATAGTGAAGGGAAACGGCATTCTTCCTAAATCTTGTGTGGGGATCCTGTCCATATCTGTGAGCGGGTTCCTCCTTCCTGTCTTCCAGTATTTATTCCCATTAGAGTCATTTATCCTCCTCTCTGGTGGCTCAGCAGCTACCCCCTACACAGCCATAGACCCTAATGCTTCCCTTTCCATCTCACCAGATGCTGCTCTCTCCCTAAGCCAAGGACCACTTCTGCAGCGAGGCAGGCTAGAACCCAAGCCTGTGATTTAGGCCAGGGGGTGACTGCAGAGCTTGTCTGTGAAGGCCCTGATGGGAGGGGAGGTGGTGGTGGGGGATTGTCCTTGGTAGCTGTCAGGCCAAGGGTGGTGCCTTTAACCTTGGAGGAAGAACTCCCTCCCCTCCTGTTCTAAGCCAACATGGGCCACCAGGTTGGAATTCCTTCTGCATGGGCCTGATGGCTTCCCAAGACTCCAGAGATTCAGTGTCTCTGATGCAAAGTCATGGGAATAATTCCGTCTTAGGAAGACAACCTTCCAAATAGTCCCGGAGCTGCAAATGGCACATGTGGTAGTCTCTGCTCAGTGTTGAATAAAGACACAATCCGGGAGCTCTTGAAAAGAAGTCTAAGGGAAACCCTGGAGAAATGAGTCCCGACTCTGTTGGGGACAACTGCTGTGGCCAGGAAACCGTCTGAGGCAGAGATGCATTCTTATCCTGCCTCCTGCGCCATGGGCCAGCTGCCAAGGCTGCGACAGCAGTGTTCTTCGTTGAAGAATCCTTAGTGAGCAGGCTCTCCTCTCCTCTCCTCTCCTCTCCTCTCCTCTCCTCTGCTCTGCTCTGTTCCACTCCTCTCTGCTTTATAATTTTGAGTTTTGAAATAGCCAAGTTCAAATCCACTCCGTAAAGTTTAGATTGAGTGACTTTCAGTTTGTGCTCGCCTTTAATCCCAGCACTGGGGAGGCAGAGGCAGGCGGATGTCTGTGAGTTTGAGGCCAGCCTGGTCTACAGAGCTAGTTCCAGGACAGGCTCCAAAGCAATACAGAGAAACCCTGTCTCAAAAAAAAAAAAAAACAAACAAACGAAAAAAGTCAATTTGTTCTGGAACAAATGCTCATGTGGGTAGGCTCACTACCCTGTTCTGGTGGCAGAGGTTTGCCCTTACCTCAAACTCTGGGCCTCTCCCAGCTGAGTGTGAAGGATGTCAGCTGAGTGTGAGGGGTGGGGTGGGGGTCCTGGTGACAGATATGATGGCTTCTAGGAAGCGCCTCAGGAACCATGCAGTCAGGGAGGAACTTGGGAGGATCTGGGAGGACTTTGGGCTAACCAGGCCATGACAGCATGTGAAACAACTGAATCCTTTCTTTCCTGACTTGTGCTCCATATTGTGTAAAAACTAAACATATCTTCTTGGATTTTATCTGTTTGAAAATGGGATCAACATAGAAAGTTTGAGCCAGGACCAATGGCTCACATCTGTAGTTCCAGTTGCTAGGGAGACTGGAAAGATCACTGTGTCCCCACGTTTGAGAACAGCCTGAACAACATAACAAGATTCCGTTTAAAGAAAATGAAGGGTAGGGTGGGAAGTGGCTGGGATGTAGCTCAGTTGGAGTTGGTGGAATGTTTGTCTACCAAGCATAAGACCCTGGGGTTGCCGGTCGTGGTGGTACACGCCGGTAGGATTTGCTGAAGGAGGCAGAGGCAGGAGGATCACGAGTTCGAGGCCAGCCTGGGCTACACATTTTTAAAGGGGGCTGGAGAGATGGGTCAGAGGTTAAGAGCACTGCTCTTCCAGAGGTCCTGAGTTCAATTCCCAGCAACCACATGGTGATTCACAACCATCTATAATGAGATCTGGTGCCCTCTTCTGGCAATCAAGCAGAACACTGTATACATAATAAATAAATCTTTAAAAAAAAAAAAAAAAGACCCTGGGGTTGATCCCTGTGCAATATAAACTATTATGGTGACATATGCCTACAATCTCAACACTTCCAAGTGCTTGCAAGTGCAAGGGATCAGAAGTTCAAGGTCATCTTCGGCTGTGGAGCAAGTTTGAGGCCAGCCTCATTTACATGAGATTCTGTCCCAATGTAAATAATTTTTTTAAGTTGTAAGAGCTGGGGAGATGGTTCAATGGGGAGAAGCAATTGCTACCCAAGTCTAGTAAGCCCATTAGGGTCTCCCGAGCCCATGTAAAAGCTCCATGCAGGGATGCATGTCTGTAACCCCAGCTCTCCTGCAGCAATGTGGGAGGCAGAGAATCACCTGGCAGTGTGTGGGCCAGCTAGCCTGGAGTCTGTGGTGAAGCAGAGGAAATGAGAGGGACCAGCAAGGAGGTAAAGGCACCTGCTGAGTGTGAGCCCTGGAACCCATGTGAAGGTGGGAAGACTCCAGAATTATTCCTCTGACCTCCACGTGCAGAGTAATAATACTATGAGCGACTAAGACAAGGAAGATCCTGTCTCATAATGAGGTAGAAGGCAAGAACTGACTACCCAGAAGTCCTCGGGTGACTATGTGAGCAGTGAGGTACATGTGCACCCACTGTCTCTGTCTCTCTGTCTCTCTCCCACACACACAAATTAAAAAAAAAATTATGTTTGAAGATGATTTGGAGCACTGTAGGAGTTGTAAACTCCAGAGATCAAACTCAGGCTTGGCAGCAAGTTTCTTATCCTGCTAAATTCACTGCCCACCCACCCCCTTCTTAACACTGTCTGTGAAGGATTCTCCTTCTCACTCATCTTTCTTCCCCCACCCCCCAGGCTGTGTATAAGATGGCTGATGTCGCCTGCAAATGTCACGGAGTCTCAGGGTCCTGCAGCCTCAAGACCTGCTGGCTCCAGCTGGCTGAGTTCCGCAAGGTGGGGGACCGCTTGAAGGAGAAGTACGACAGTGCTGCGGCCATGCGCATCACCCGCCAGGGCAAGCTGGAGCTGGCTAACAGCCGCTTCAACCAGCCCACGCCAGAGGACCTGGTCTACGTGGACCCCAGCCCTGACTACTGCCTGCGCAACGAGACCACGGGCTCACTGGGCACCCAGGGCCGCCTCTGCAACAAGACCTCAGAGGGCATGGATGGCTGTGAGCTCATGTGCTGTGGCCGCGGCTATGACCGCTTCAAGAGCGTGCAGGTGGAACGTTGCCACTGCAGGTTTCACTGGTGCTGCTTTGTCAGGTGCAAAAAATGCACCGAGATTGTGGACCAGTATGTCTGTAAATGACAGCACCCATGCCGCCAGCCCACTCCTCTCTGCCTCCCAAAAGTCTATATTATATAAATCTATCTAAATATATTTTATATTTGTACAAATGAATGGACAGATGATAAATAAGCAAGAGAAGAAAATGGAGAGGAAGAACTTAAGAGATTCTGGCCCTCTGTGAGGACTGGGCTTTGCTGGTAATCTACAGCCATGGGGAGAGAAATGGGCTTTTCCATGCTCTCTGGCCAGGACTCTCAGGACCCAGGAGCCTGAGAGTGTCGCGCGCCATCGCCTCCAGGAAAGAGGCAGGGATTAGATGAAGGAGATGGGTTTGTTTCACATCTGCAGTCTATGACCCTGGCCAGGAGACCCAGAGACCCTGTGGGAGGTGGAGACCTGACGACCCCAGTTGCGGCCCAGGTCCTCCCCTGAATGGAGGTAGCTTCAGGAAAGGTCCCAGTACTTGCTTTTTTTCTCATCCCAGTGCTCAATTGCAGGGAAGGAAGGCTCCTTCCTCAGTACTGCGGAGAGGCCTCAGGTCACTCTTGACAGGTGACCGTAAGGGACCTGCGCCTCTCTGGATTCTGGATCTGTGTTCTGATGAGACTGTCACCAGCCCCTGCTGCAAGCTCCTGGGTCAAGAGAAAGATGGTCACTTAACTTGCTACACCAAGGAAGCAAACCTGGCCTCTGGCTGGGGACAAAGGGCTTGTGCACTGCCATCTTGCACAGGGCAGGAAACTGTTGCTGCTTCTGTGGCTCCCTCTGGCAGGGAGGCCTCATGCTGGCAGGTCATCTCTGCCCAGATGTACAGGGTCCCTCCGACATTAAATATCTTTTACCAAGGTTTCTCTCCCTCTCCTTATTTGGGCATACAATGAACTCTCATGATTCTCATTTGATAGTTTACTTTATTTTTGGTGCTAAGGATGAAACTCAGGGCATCCTGATGTCATGGAGTTTGTGACCCCTGGGTAAAGACCATAGGCTCAATCCAATTATAATTTAAGATTTATGTAATAGCTTCTAGCAGGACTAAAAATCCCTGAGCCAAATTTGAGATTGCTGTGAGAAGGGATACAAGGAAAGGATTTTTAAAGGAGAAAACCACAAGAAGACTTTCAATATCTGTTCACACAAACAAAAGCTGGTCTGTTCTGCCAGGTTAGGTGACCCCCAAACAATCTTTGGGTATCTGCATAAGCAAGTTATAGAAGCAAAAGAAGGCATTTAGTCATTTCGTAATAAGCAGAGAGTCTCAACTGTACATTTTTGGGTGGGGATCACTGAGTCAAAGTTACTGGGAACTTACCTTCCAGGAACTCAAGTCAGAGACAAATGGCTGGTGGGTACCAAGATGGATAGCCCCCATCTTGAGTAACCCTTTTTGTAGCTCTCTGATTTTAACAGGTATCTGTAATACTGAAGGATCCTGGAGGTCAGCATGCACTTTGGTAGGCTAACAGGCACCATAGATAGGAATTTGTCATTTTTGACAGTGATAGGAAAATGGCCCCTTTCTATCCTCTTGTTAATGGTAAGGGGCAACATAGTCTCTTCTGTAACTGCTTCTCAGCTGACATAGGACATTGTTGTCAGAGCCCAGGAAGGCTGGAAAGTCAGTCAAAGACCAGGAAGGGACAAGTTACATCTGGTTTGCTGTTCAGGTTCTGTGGACCACCTGGGGCTAGTGAAGGGCAGGTGGCTTTGGAGCAGTCTAAAATGCTAGTCTGGAGCTGGGGCTCAAGCTGGTAGGACATTTTTGTCAGAAGCATCTGGTTGACGTTAGCTTTCAGCTGGTCTAGGCCTTGCTAGCTTCAAAGGACCCACCTGAGGCTGGTGTATCTGTAACAGTTTGTAGCCTTTAGTTGATTGGAAATATGCTGGGACAAATATAGACCAGAAACAGAAGGCAAAGTTAAGGAGCTCAGGGGAAATCTTAACTCCATTGATTAATGTATAAACTCTGAACTTTTGAAGTCTTAATATAATAATAGCATAGCAAGAGGGAAAGAAATCGGAATCATTATAAATTGTTTCTATATATCTTGAATCATTCCCCTAGACCTTTGTAACTTACATTTACACACCTTAAATCACTTTCTTGGACCCTCACAGCTTACTTGTACTTTCATATGCTCAGACCTTTACACACCTTAAATTACTTCTTTAGACCCTCATGACTTACTTAAGCTTTTCTATCCTTAGACCTTTACAGCTACCATCCTAAATCTTTTCCTAGACCTTTATAAACTCCATTTTTTTCCTAATTATTTACAATGATACATGGGTGATTGATTACTGAGAACAGCCATTGCTACGGCGAGCCATAAGTATCATCAGAGATCCAAGAAAGGTAGAGTTGAGCAGGAAGTATAATCCAAACGGCTTCTGTATCAATTAAACTGACAGAGACTTCCTACGTGGTTCCCTAGGCTCCTTCATGGTGGCCTTTGGGACAGAGGGCCTTGGTCTTCAGCAGTCACACGGGACAGCATGAAGTCTTTCATTTCCACACAGGGCATCTTTTGCCTTCAGCTGCCAGACGCAGAAGAGCTGAGCTTTTGTGGGTAAAGGGCTTGAGAGACTGGCCTGCTTGGGGAAGCCAAGAGGGAGAGTCAGTTCTGCAGTGTCCTGCTAGTCCACAGTTTGGGTAGGGTCCAGCACCTTGTGTCAGTTCTTTGCCAGTGATTAGCATTACTATAATTAAGATGGAGTCATTTGTGCCCCCTTTGTCTTATTTGGAGGAGACCTTAGGGTTGCTTCTAGGAGCTGGCAGCTCACAGTTTTGTCTATCATGGGATGTCTTGAAACTCGATTTGTAGACCAAGCTGGCCTCAAACTCAGAGATCTGCCTGCCTCTGCTTCTCAGGTGCTGGGATTAAAGGTGTGTGCCTCCATACCCAACCACATTTTTTTTTTTTTACTTTCTTTTTATTTATTCAATGTGTCTTTCACATCATGTACCTTGATCTCATTCATATCCTGGTCCCTTCACATCTGCCTTCTGCTCCTGAACCTCCACCCAAATAAAACAAAATTTAAGACAAAAAAAGGGGTGGGGGAGGTATTTTAAATCTCATCATGGACGATGCAGTGTGGCACAGTGGGTCACATGCTAAAGCCTTTTGTCCACATGTCTTTACTTGCAAGTGTTCATTACAAAGAGTCATTGGTCTGGTTCAAGGCCTCTGGTTTCTGACACACACCATCGATGCTGGACCCTCACTGAGATCGTGGGTATCCTGGCATTGCCTTGTGTCATGGAGATCCTGCAACTTTGGATCTGTGCCCATGGCCCCTTCAAATGCTCCAGCAAATCATAGATGGGGTGGGCCAACTCATAACCCTGGTTCTGGGCCTGGGCAGCTATAATGCTCCTGCTTTCATGCCCTCAGGGTTGGCCCTCCCACACCTACACCATCAGGACCAGGCAAGGTGAGGTGCAGGGGCCACTCTCCCCAGTGCCGCAGCTGGTGAGGGGCAGGGACAGCCCTCTTGCCCGTCATGACCTGAGGGCCAGCTCCTCTACCTGTCTCAGGCATCGATGAGGGGCATCTTTCTTCCACCCAAGCCACCACATGTCAGATGAGCAATGGGGACAGCTCTCCCTTGCTCACAACCTTGGAGCTGGGTCACCCACACCTCCACCAACAGGGCCAGCTCTGCTGTGCTGCCTGGGTGAGGAGCAGGGCCCAGTTTCCTGCGTGCTGCAGGTGACAAGTTGGAGGGTCATCTGGCTCATCTGATGCAGTCAGTGAGGGACAGGGGAGTTAAGGGGGGAACTCTCCCCCACCCCCACTGCAGCATGACAGACAAGTAGTGGGAACAGCTGCCCTTATATGAACCCTTGTTTGATTACAAGATTTAAGTAACATGAGACATAACAGTAACAAATAAACTTACCATTTGTTGTAAGAAATCTTTCCTAAGGGGGTGTTAAACAATATCTGGAGCCTTTACCCAGTATATATACCAGCTTTCTCATTGTTGCGTAGGTGGACTCCCTCCTTATTCTTAGTTTTTAGATTTTTTACCATAGTCTCTCCAGAAAACTTTGAGGCCTCATACAATGATGGCCTAATTGTGTAGGACCAGCTTGGGAGGAGTGACTGGATGCTCAACTGAAGGTCCAGTGACTTTGCCTGTCTCCTTTTTTTTTTTTTTGAAGGAATATTAGCTTTGACTCCAAGTCTGATCATCTTAAGCAAGCATATCTGAAGTTATTACTAAGAGATTCTAGACAGAGAGTTTTATTTTACTTGATAACTAGATCGTGTGTGTCTGCAGATGGAGGCAGACAACCTGAAAATCTTAGTGAGTATATTTTCTTATAAAGTCATTCAATTACAGAATAATATAAGTATCTGTAACCTGGAGGTCATTAAACAGAAAACTATAGAAACAACATATTCACAGGGACTCAGAGAATGTTGGCATCAGGTTGTTTTTGTTTTCTTACAGATTTTTGCTTTCTAGATTTTTTTTTAAACCACATCCAATAAGCTTACAAATCTTAAAACACAGAAAGTTTATATTTTAGCTATTTTAAAGCACATAGTATCTTTTCTTGGGCTGTGTTTTGTTTCTCTTTGTTCTAGAGTGAAATGGCTTTCTGGCCTAGAACTGAGATTTTGGAGGAAATTTGAACAATCATGCTTGGATAGGAGGGAGGAGGCTATACCCCAACTCCAGGGCCAGGTTTTTTAAATAACATTATCCCTACCCAAACAGCACCCAAGTCCTTGCAAAACTGAATCCAGTAATCAAAGGAAGAGACCAGAGAAAGCAGAGTACAGAGAAGGCTTAGAGACAAGAAGTTCTGGGTATGGACTAGGTATGGATTGCAATAGGAATAGGCAGTGAGCCAGGGAATTTATGGGGCCTGGGAAGGCTATGCATTGGGAGCACCTGCGTCCCCAGCCCAGCACAGATACAAGGAGCGATGACAGCCAGAGCTCCATAGTCAGAGACTAGATCCAGCTGGGAGACAGAATAAGTAGGAGAAAAAAAAAAAAAAAAAAAAAAAAAAAAAAAAAAGACGCCTTCCAGAAGCAAGGGGGAACGATTGCTAACAGGTGGGCATAGAAAAGAACCTGCTGTGCCTGTGGGACTTAACAGCAGGCTCCAGCAAGCTAATAAAGGCGGACAGAGACAGACAAGCTAGATGGAGCAAACTCCAAGGAGGAGCTAACATAGAGGTGGCCAAGAGCAGTCTGCTTCTTGGAAATCCTGAAAGTGTTGCAGCGTGCAGACCAGAGGCGATCTGTTTATGTGCAGTTCAATTCCCATC